GTGAGGCCTTCCCTACTGTACACAACTACCTTGTACTGTACACAACTACCTTGACATAATACGAGGAGGATGTCTGCTTCCTCCTCGTATCTCTTTGCTCATTTTAAAGAGCCGCAGGCGCTAGTGACATCAGGATCCTTGAGGCATTTCCTAACAAGGTCCTCGTAGAGCGCTCACACCTCAAATCACGCCACCGATCACGTGAGGCATCATGCCACTGAACATGCCAGCCGACGCTACATTCAAACATGAGCCAGGCACACAGGAACCGTGAGCTCCCTCATAGCCTCGCACACAACACAAGGCCAAGGTCGCGCAAACGCTGTATCTTCCTTAGGTACCCCGGGCGTCTCGGTATCTCGTCCACACCTCCAACCACAGAAAGTCCACAGGCTCGGCAGTGTGCGCATGCTGTCTGCGTTCCTGCACCCGACGCCATTGAGGCTCAAGTAATCGAAGCTTAACATTCTGCAACACTGAAGGCTAGGAAGGAGAGCATTGATTTGCACTCTTCTGCAGAAACTGCGACCCCAAAACGCACTGCTCTGCTTGAACAGCCACTCTTAGTCATGCAGAACTATATGAACACTGGCCCCAGCAAAAATTTCAATTGGGCTGCAACAGTGAAACTTTGTTGCTCTAAAATGGTGCTCTGCGGACATGAATTTGAGAAAAGTGAAATGCTTCATTATAGTGAGGTTTGACAGTATGAGCATAGTTACAGGGATATGCATGCCGTAGGATCTGAGCACATTCTTTCCTCTTTTGCCCCAACACACCAGAAGCTGCATAAAGAAGGATGAAATGGAGGCAACAATCTATATCAGCATGTCTAGACATTGAGAATTTTCATTTGTTATATGAATATGTTTGCAAACTTTTCGTTCAGACTATCTTGACAATGGAGCGAGGGGTACGGAGACGGGGCTTCGGCACACTCGTGTTGCTCCACAAGCAGTACAGCAGCTGGCAACTGATTTAGGTTTTTCTCGCTCGCTTCATTGACATGTTTAGAAGATTATACACATGAAAATGTGAATTGGAACAACATTTCAATGGTTTAGCGTACATTTTAGTGCCATATTACGAGTGCATTTTTCTTGGAGAACTAAAAAGCACATTTGCGGCATCACACTAACCTGCTACGTCATGGACATCGTATTTATTTTGGAGAATGGCCACGCTGAATTGGGCGACCATCTAAAATGGTGGTGCTGTCTAAGGAATGGAAAGAAAAAGAAGGCATTCTTTCAAGGGAATAATAATGGTATTTTACCTACGACTTTCCATAACTGTTCTAGTCTCATGATAAACGAAGAGAAAATGAGAAAATTATTAGTAGAATAGAGCAATTTTCTTGCATAGTAGCAGGCACGTACTTCAGCTCTAACTTCCACAGTGCTGTCAAGGAAAGTTGTCGCCAAGTATAGTGCCACCCCAGCACGCAGTGGCACACTGTGGCAGTTGCAGTACTCGTGTAGCACAAGTAAGATAACTGTCATGCTAAAGTCTGGCTGAGCTACCCAAGAACCTCGCATACACCGGTGTTGTCTTGCATCAAATTGATGGCTAAAATACAGATAGCTTATTTTTAAGTGGTTGCAATTGGTGGAACATTAAGTGACGCCTGCCAGTATATCTAGTAGCTTGTGAGGGAGGAGTGAGTAAGCATGCACTTGAATAACCAAATCAAATCAGGCATTTTTCTGATAGCACCAGTGTAGTAGGCCTGGTCCTGTCTTGCATAATTGTAGGATAAAACTGAACATTTAGCAGACGATCATCGCTCGAGCGTGGAAGTGGGAAGACGAGATACTTTATCAGTGTTCTTGAAGATAATGGCATGCATACGTATTTCTCATTTATTGAACTTAGAACAAACAGCACAAGCAGTATTGACAATGTTTTAACAATTATAAACCTCGATGATGGCAGTGTCTGTACCACTGATTAAGGAGTTGGTGCCTGTGAGTGCATACTTTTCTTGGAAAACAGCGAGCAATTTGTGGCTCTTTCAAGCAAAAATTACAAATTTCTTGTCACGTGCAGTGTTACTATAGCCTTGCTTGTTAACAGGAGCTTTTACTGCCGATGGGCAGTCTTCAAACTGTCAAAAAAATTTTTTAGGGCCCCTTGATGACTACATCGACACTTGTATTTGTGTGAGGGAAACATTAAAACATGTTAGTCCTAGACATGTCCTGGCAGTACAAAATTGGAAAGCCCTTGCAAGATTAGCTGTTACAAGAAATAGAGATTGTGGTCAGTATGAAATGTGGCATCCCAAAACACTAGTGATGGCTATTTAGCCATCATGAGGGAAGATTGTGAGAACCTGCCACGACTTGTACGCTGTGTCGGAGCTAATAGTTAGCTTGGGAAGTGTGAATGGCTGTGCTAAAAAAATTGAAGTTTGCACTCTCCCTTGGACACTTCAACAATGCAAGTCCCTACATTCTGTGAAGTGCCAAGAATGAGGCAAAATGCTTTGCATCCGGCCAAATATCTTTGCTTCCTTAGCTTAAATGTTAGTATGTCATATAAGATGCACATCAAGCTACAGACTGTGCATTCATCAAGAAACTTGGGTGCAGCAGCACTTATGTTTCAATACGTACCTGTGTAAGTTGGTATGCATCTCCTACACATGAAAACGGCATTTTGTCACCTATTTCCACTTGTCCTCTGCACCAAAGTGCAGCGAACGAGTGGAATTAGGTGGTCTTTTTTTTTTTTTTAAAGAATAACACTACAAATTGCAGAGAGTATGAATACTTTTTATTGACCTTTTATTCTTGCTTTAGCACTGGCTGAAATCCTCTTGTATTGAGTGAAGTTGCAGACGGTTTGCATAGCTGTACTTCATACAGTATGAATGTTATGTGCTGGCGTTCTTATGGCAAATAGCATCCTATGCTCATGCATAACTTAGAGTTATAAGGGCAAGCAAAACAAACTACATTCTTTCGCAAGATCAATGGGTGAAGGTAACAAAATGCATGCCGGGTTGCGATCTTGCTGTTTAAAAGCTATCAAAATTAAGGGAGCACTGTAATATTGTGGCTGAAAAGCATACTAGGAAGGTGTTCTGGCGAGTAAAAATCTCAGTAAAAGTGTGTGTGCAAAGTGCTCTTTGTCGCCATTTGATAATGTATCCTTCACACAATTTCTCGCAAGCATTGTGTATATAGATTTAGAAAATGCAGCAGTTTCATACAAGTCGACTCAATTTTGTTGGCGCGGTGTTTGTCACTGAGCCAGAACATATTTCCTAGGCAGAGAGGCACTTCTGGTTCCTCAATGTGCGATCACTTGATATTAACTTTTTATACAGTTTCAAGCACAAATGTTTTCGCCACTATAGATATTGAGAGTGTTTCAAAGACTTATTCAACTCTGAAAATTTTTGATGTGGGCTTCCCTCAGTGTACACATACCGCCTGGCTATATACCATAATGCTCAATGAAAATAAATAACTTTGTCATCATTTTACCCTTCTCATGTCCTCTGATCACTGTAATGGTGTCTTCAAGCAATTTTCATAGACATTCTATATCATTTCTAGATGTAGTAACATTACTATGAAACCTAACATTGTCTTTTCTAGCCTTCAAGATTTGCAATTTCTTGTGGTAGCAGCGACAGACTGTCTTTCTTCTGTGCCAATTTCGTGCACACTGCTTAGCTGCTAGGGCAATGAGCACTAATTAACACTGTTCTGCACTATATAGTGCGCACGCAAGCCTATGTCTCGATAAACATGACCACTACATGGGTGGTATACAACTTGAGAATTCTGGGGAGGCCCCGTCCTGACAACCAAATCGCAGCAGCCTTTGAGACTAAAGTAGTAGTCCCATTTTGCCATAGGTGGCGATTATGAATAATCCTATGGGGCCAAACTTGAACTTTTTGGAAAAAGCATAGAAGGAAACATGCCTGTCATGAACAAGTTTGCGTAATAATATGGGGCCATTTATCATGCTAAGATGTATTTGTTCCATGTAGTATATAAAAAGGACCGTCAACTCAACCTCAATAGTACTTCGTGTTGCAACTTAAAAGCTTAGCTTTTCAAAACTGCATTTGCCTTGTGCCTTAATGTGTCCTTGCAACAGAGACAACTGCAATGAGTAATATGCCCACAGGACTTCCACACATCTCTGTTATGGTACAGTCCATTATTAAATGGACATTATGTCCCTGGATAAGTAGGACAATTACTATCATTTGCATCTTAAAATTGTTCAACAGCTGCTACAGTCTTTCATCCACACTGATGATAGGATCAAGCTTATGCAGCATTTTCAACATTCTTTTTTATACCCTGTTGCCATAAAAGCTTTTGCATGTCAACTGCTATGAAGAAAGTGACAATACTAATATGCTGGTTACAAACAAAAGCTAGTCTGAAACTTGCGCTGCACATTCTTTTTAGCATTTGGTCCCAAATCAACAGCAACATCTGTACATGTAGGGCTTCAGCTTTGAAACAATAAAGCCTCTTGTAGAAAACTTCACAGAATACTAATACTGCTGATATTGTCAAAGGAAGCCAAATACAAGTTGAAAGAGTTCAGGCAACTTTAAATCTGTCTTAGAGAGATTTATAAAGTGCTTACACTGCTTGGCCTATTTGCAATATGTTGTAAATAAATAAATAAAAATGTTTATTTGCTGGCCAATAAATTTTTTTTACATCACCACCTCCCTAAGATGTAATCTCTAAATTCATGACCACTAGGCGTCGCTCAAAGCACGGTTGCAATTGCACAAGAAGTGCATGCACGAAGTCTGCAATATAGGCAGTTGGAAGGTGTACACATGATTTTTTTTTTTGCCGTGCTGTCATGGTTGAAATTCATAGTACTTTCACGTTCCAAGGCACATGGTTGTACTATGTAGCACATGCTAACTTAAGGGGTGTGTGTTCTCAGTAAACATGATTGCTGTATTCTACACCTGTTACTTGCATTAATGGTTATCTTTTTTGTTACAGATGGATCAGTAACAGTGGAGGACAGCATTGAAGAAGTAGCAGCACAGTAGCAGTGGTGGAATCTTTCATTTTTTTACATGTTGATGACATTTGATTACATAAGCCGCCTGTTTGAATTATACAAAAGAGCCATGGATGCAGAACAAAAGATGGTGCAGCTTTTAACCGTGATGTTATGTTTACATGCTGGGACTTCTTACGCAGTTTCATTCCTCTAGTCCATGCACTAAGCCCGATTTGCCTGCATGCGCTTAAAGAGATATATAATGTAATATACAGACCACTGTGCTGCAGTGTAAAAGAAAAATAAATAAATAAAATGTGCATATGCTTAACTGTCTTTACACTCACGTCAAACACTTTATAAATACGGCTTCTCCACCCTTTCCCGTTATCAGAGTGCCTTTTCAATTACCCTCCCTTTTCCCTTTGCTGATAATCATGTGCAGCATGAACTTTAGTGTAAGTGAAGTAAAATTATTTGAAGCACAGTAAATAGCAAGGGCAATAGCACAAATAACAAAACAAAACTGATACTGACCTGTGCTGTAAGAGCTGTGCAAATTACCATAAGGAGTGCACAATGGGTGCCCTGGGTCCGTGCTGCACACTGCTGGAAGCATCTGAACAGTTAGACAGTACTCCATGCACTGGTCACTCCCAGCTATAATGACTGGTAAGTTTCAAGGATTTGATTCCCAAATACAAACTCCTTCATTCTTTCACCCAGTAAAAGAAAAATAGCAAGAAATGCCAAATACTGGGTCCAGGCATGCTTCAGGACTTGCCAAACCCCGGGACGATACCTGTTGAGTGGTGTCAAGAAACTTCAACTAAAGTGCTGAGCAACATCATTTAGCACGGCACACATTTGAAGGAACAAGCTGTGGTAATAAGTAACCCCTCATTGGACATCTTCTATAAACTCAAAGAGCGAGATGTATATAGCATCCATAATGGCTGCCTAAAGCACATGAACAGGGCAAGGGAAGTTGAAATGGCTGCATGTGCACATGCGGGTTGCCAGGTAGAAAGGGCATTGCCACTAATCATAGCCACACACTCTGCACAGCTTTTTCTTTCTGGTGATTGTGCTCCCCGACAGAAAGACCTCAACAGCTGTGAGGCTTTGTGGTCTTTCTGTGTGCAGGCCGGGTAACCTACGTGTGCACATGCAGCCATTTCAACTTCCCTTGCACTGTTCATGCGCTTTAGGCAGCCATTATGGATTAGACTGTGAGGCTGTTGTGGCAGAAATGTTCTTTACCACATGACAAAGCAAATTACATCATGTGGCAAAAATATGTGCTTGTTCACCATGTTGTCAGGTACAGCAGCCAACAAGAGGGTGCTGCGCACAGCTATGACCACAAGTGATTGCATTCTGTTCACCTTATAGGGTATGCCTGTGAATGGCAATATTCCAGCTGTCTTTCAAAAGCAGCATCAAGGGCACTGCTCTGCTTCCTGAGACAACCTGGTGACAACCATGATGGGGTTGCACTAATTTCACAATTCATCGTAATGCATTATTTCAATTCCCTGTAAATATCAAGATGGCCATTCACTTCAATATTGCCATTTCTTTACCACAGAAAATGCACATGTCAATGATCTCTCTTGTTAATAATGTTAATGTGCAGTAGTGCATCACAAAATTGCACAATCTGAAATGGCAGCATTTGCTGACAAGATTACATAAAATATTTAAATTTTCAGCTGTAGTGTAATTAATATATGTTAATGGAGTATACAATACCCAATGCAATTCTGATGTACTAATGCAATAGGTGCAACAAGGTGTGAAAAGTTATTAAAAAAAGCACTCTTTCTCTTCGTAGTACCTGTCTTCTGAACTGCAACATTGAATTCCAAATATCAGAAAAATTAACTGAAATGTTAACTCACAGCAACACTTCAGTTAAAAACAAGCAGCACATACTGACAGATAAGCCTGAATTGCCATATGTGGTGTAGGCATAAGGATACCACAAAATCTCTACTGGGTACTTGATCCTCAGTTTGGCAAAGAAATGCGTAGCATTTGAGGCAGCCCTCCACGTGCTTTGGACACTGGACAGCTGTGTTGTCACTGCACAGCAATAAAATAGATTGCAGTGAAAAATTATGTCAAACATGCATATAAAGTACTCACCATTTCGTTTTGAGTACAGATCTAGAATGTAGTCAAGACTGAATGAAGACATGCTAGAACTGTCTTGTGTGATGATGGAATGCTGCAAAACAACAGATATATATATATATATATATATATATATCACTAGATAAAGTTAAATGGCTTTGCCTTAAACATAAGTCAGAGTTTCAAAATGGCGTGTGCACAGACTGTAGAGAAGTACCTCAAAGCGGCTGTCATGTGAACCAGGTCGTAGCAGTTCTTTCTGATGAAGCCTCAATTCTGCTGCCAGGGATAGTTCCGAGCCCGAAATGCTGGAGGAATGGTCTATAAATGCTACCCCCTCATATGACACCCTGGTGTAGGTCTGTAAGTTGAGAAAGCATTAAATGACGCTGCAAGCCATCAGTCAGCTCTTGAAACAAAAAAAAGGGACAATTTTCATGTAATAACATTGTTCATACTTTTCCTGAGAACTGAAGCAAAAGCTACGAAGCAATGAAGTCTATTTTGTTCACTTGTACCAGAGGGCACAGCATAAGTTGCATACTACCACGTGTTTCTCAGGTGGATCCAGAATGGCACACCAGCAAGCCGTATGCGCAACATAACCTGCAGCACCTTTCAATTAAGCAATTGTTTTTTTTTTTCTGCGCTGTAGAAAAATTGCCACTATTCAGAAGTGTACAATGTTCAACTTCTTTTATGCATATATTAGAGCATTCATAAAGTGATTAGCATTTTCATTATGCAATGATGAAATTTATTCGGTGCACTGAAGCACACTCAAGAATATTGTCAAATAAAATTTGAAATTCAGCAGAACAGAAGGAAATGAGGTGACCACAGTGAAATGCAAGCACAGCAGCAAGTATGTTTTCAATATTTTTTAGGTCATGTAGAAGGCATTCGCACGAATAAAATTTAACCCAAGATCTCTTGTGAGAAGATCCTAACTTCATAAAGTACCCTCTTTCATGAACTGCAACACCACATGCTAAGCACGATACATTTGACTAACTTGTTGCACTTGATTTTCATTTGATGTGCTTTCCTTCGTTTGAACGCACTTTTGTGATAAGCCTACAAAATTGTGCTATAGTGAATCTTCAGCCAAGCAAAGCATCGCAGCTATACTTTTAGGCAAATGTAGAACAACTTACCGCAATCCTACAATCAAACAGAAGAAGGATTTTCACACAAAGCACGTCAAATTTTCTTGGTAGCGGCATTTGAATGCCGAGACTCAGCTCGTCCATTTTCCCATCATAATCGAAGTCTTCCTCCACATCCTGTAGAGGGGAGAGCAATGTGAAATTACGCAACTGCACTACAGCCTTTAAATTCGTCAAACATCACGGCAGTGCCCAATTTCAAATGAGCTTCGCATATGACCGCTACTAACAGTCAGTGCGAAAACCATTAGTCAAGTAGCGATAGTAACGAGTTGGCTCACCTTGAGTAACTCCTACTTCTAACAAGCACTTACCTCTACAAAGGGCACGCTCAATCCTGTAGCATGAGAGTTTAAGAATGGGTACGAACTCCAAAATACGAGTCCTTCGCCACCTTCCAGCACAACTATCAGACGACGTTTGAACCGAACTTCGGGCTGTTCTTGGTACTGATCAATCTTTTTCCAGAACCCTGAAAACCAAAAACTGCAGCATTAGGTAGAAGGTTAACGCAAATTCACGATAGTAGCGCTCACAGACAAGCTGCTGACACATGTTGCAGACTAGTGCATCAGTGGTCATTGCCAACAAGGAGCAACAACAAGAGCGAAAAAATAATAATTATTATAATACATGCCTAGGTCCTTGTAAGCGAAGATGAATGGAATTACGACTGTTGCAAAGGTTAGAAACACAATAAACACAGTTGCCTTCGAGCATAAGCTAGCTTTATACTTGCGTTGAACGCCTTCGCAAAACAATGTGTACACCGCCATTTGTACACAACAATTGATAGCCACAGCGATGCGGTTGACGAGAAAGTCATTGCAAAATACAAAAAAAACTTGTAATAAATTTTACGTTTTCAACAATTTTTGCTGCTTCCTAAATGTAAAACTCTTTTATAATAGTTTTTCACTCAAGTTTTCAAGGTCAATCGTTATGCTTTTGCCAAAGACTAGGATAGTTTCTTGTCGTTTTTTCTGAAATCGTATTCAATTGGTTCGCGAGAGGGAGCTACGTGCACACAAATGTGAAAACCGGTTTTTCGCGGGTGCCGCTGGTGCTCGTACCCGCTATACCTGCGCGGCAAAGTGTGAAATAACTTTGACATCGACAAAGCAAAGTTTGCGGATTAGGCAGAGTGAGACTACAAACGCGCGGAATATCGTCGTGCTTGCTTTGTGCTGACGCAGATACTTTGTGAGAGGTCCTGAGGGAAGGTAAACCTTTGTTGAGCGTTTTCTGGGCTGTGACAGTGGTGATCGTATGCGTTACCGAACCGATACCGGGATTTCCAACGGCGTTGGGCTAGCGCCTTCAAACCGGCGTCCGGTGGGAAGCGATTGACACTTTGCATCGTATCTCCGTTTGATTGCTGTCACGAAGAAGGCAAGGTGAGTAACATCGATTTCATCTGACCCAGAGACTGGATCATATCGTGCCGGTAGACAGAGGCAGGCAGAAAAAAGAAACGGCACTTGGTTTTTTTTTTTCTGCGTACCTCTTCGGTAGATCCTGCGACCCCGCTACAGGTGGCCTTACTACGTAAAATTGTTCGTTCGCATCACCATATCACTTGTTATAATTTATTTCAACGCCTGACTGAAGTTTTATGCGACAGTTTATATATTAGTGCGTTCATTCTGCAGTTTTAATTGTGTGACGAAGCCGAAACTTAACCACGTGTTTACTCTATTCAAAAATGAATGGGTTAAGCGTGTTAGAAGGTGAATAAAGTCAACTGCTGCCTTCACATTCTTCAGTCGACGCGGTCTATAAAAAATAAGTTATTAAAATAAACTAAAAAAAACGTATGAATGTTGCGTATATCGCGGCAGGTCAGTTTTAGAAAACCCTTTCACGGATTATACTCCGCATAAGTTCTTTTAGGGAACTTAATAGTTATTTGTCTTAAGGTACTTTATTTCCTTTTTACAACGTGGTGGCGTCGCTCTTGCACTCAGCGTGATCAATCTTGTGCCTCACCTTTTTGCTTGCTGCTGTTGATTTATTGTTTGGCCTAAGGTGGCGAATCCGAAACAACCGGTGCAGTATGCTGACCCACGCCGGTCGCCATGTTTAGCCTGTTTGGCTAAGTTACGTGCAGATAAATTATGTTGGACATTCAGAAAGGTTTGTCTCTGCGCTGTGTTACGTAGTGACGTTTGTGCGCGTCTCACGCACTTCTCCGAGCTGAGCCTAACAACGTTGTCTCTCGTGCGTTCTGCGTTGAAGCTTGAGTTGCGCAGTGCTTCTTTTTGTCCCCAATGCCTTCGTTCGTTGCGTCGTTATCGACAGCGGAATGTCGCGACGAGCTCCTTTCGGTACTTCGAATCGCGCGCTGTCGCTGACGGGCGAGCGCAGGTGAATACGCAGGTAGAATGGTGGAGGAGGATCCGTCGGCTGGAACATGATTCAGGCCGCATCAAGGTCTCGCGGAGAACTGGCGCGCCGGATGCCTCTGGCATGACTCGCAAGGTATCCTTCGTTAGCTTGAGAAACAGCCGAAGTATGTGCTCTCTCTCCTCACGTTTTCAACTGTTTGTTATTGTCCTTGCTGCACCGCCGAAGAACTGCAGTGTTCAGTTTGATCACAATATTATTATTTTGGCGTTGTCTCCCGTGAAGTGAGGTGATAAACGTACGGAAATAATGAAAAATGAAATAATGAAAAAAAAAATGCAGGGACCAAGGAGAACATCTTCGTACTTTTCGCAGCAAATGTGCGACGCGCACGTCATACAAAGTGCAAGCTTTCAGAAGTTGCTGCGGTGAATGTGCCCTATTTGCCTTGTTTCTGAAAAGTGTGCTTGACAAATTGGAAAGCTGTGGTTAAACTGATTGATTCATATTAGTCACTGAGAATACTTTCTCACCTATATTCAGTACGAAAGGTGATGTTAGAGGAGGTTCAACTCGCCCCCCCTCCCCTTCCAAAATTTTTACATGTGTGTATATAAAATGATACGCGCAGACATAAACACATGCATGCATTGTCGATGTGTGTGTCCGACTCCCCCTCCCCTCACCCCTTAAAAAAAAAAGAAATCCATGAGAGGTACGCCTGGCAGCGCGGTAGCTATTTCTGTGCAGTTTGAGCCGCCTTTACGTACTCCAGTTCGTCAGCTAACTTTGCTGGTCGATGCGGAAGCAGGGTCTGTGGTTACTTCACGTACACAAAATCCCCGCCGCCTACACTTGTTGCGTGACATTAAGCCACAACTGTGCAGATCCTTCAGCTTAGGCAAATAGACAAATAGGAGCATTTCTATGTTAAACTCAACGTTAACGGACTGGATGCCTTCTGAGAGGGATGTAAGAGGATGTAGAAGTATAGTAGCCATTAGAAGTGTTAACCGACCTCCATATTGTGGTGGCAAGTATATATATTACGGACGCGAGGCCGATCTGATCTGGACTGGTCACCTTGGTCTTTACTCAGACTGTATCATAAATGCTTAACAATCTTCTTTGTATGTATAATACCTATGAAGCAACCAAAGAAAAAAAGAATGCGTGGAAGTCTGTATTGTACCCAGCATATTTATTCAACAAATGAAGCAGGAACTTGACTGTTAATGTTTTTTTTTTAACTCTTGGTGAACTTCGTTCAGTTTGTGAGGTGCGTGTCTGTGTGGTATATGCAGACTCTTCAACGCCGAGCTCGCTGGAGGTATACTGCGTTCGTTTCCCAGTGCCGCCCGCACGCATTGGTTAATCTAACGGGGAGAGAGTGAAACGCAACCTGGCGATCGGCTTTTTGAGGAGAAAAAAGGCGCCATGTTCGCCACTTTCGTTAGTTCGCGGCTCAACTGCTTGTGCACTTGTATACTCTTCTCGAACGGTGTGCTCTCATTTGATCTCTCTCACTCTCTTCGATAGCCGCACAGCTATTTGTCTTTTAGTTGGAAACGGTTCACCCTTAAGAAGCGCGAAAGAAAGAAAAAAAAAAAAACACAGGGATGAAAATACACACACAGGACAGGCACTTTGTGGCAATTATTTTTATTAACGGAAAGCCCAGACTTATAATCCGATCAGAACTGCGCAAGGTACTTGAATTTACACAGCGCACATAGTGAAACACGCGAAAAAATTAGTCTCACAGAAATGCAGATAGTAGCGATTTCTCTTTGTCCGATATGGACATGGAATAATGACTCACGCAGTCATATTTATCTTTGTGCTGTGAAATGAAAAAAAAAAATGCTTCTACAATTTCCATAGATGTTTCGTCGAAGTTCATTTGAAATCGAAGAGGATGCGTTGACATTCGATGCAATTAAGATTGTGTATATGATAGCCGCGACGTTTGGGCACGCGTATGCTATGTAGGTCAGACTGCGGCAGGTGTGTGAATGCAAGATTCAAGAGACCACACGACTGAAACGACGTCCTAGCACACACCTTGTCCTTCACTGCGTGGGTGATTTAACTCCCCAGTGCTTCGCCCTCTCGTCAGTGTGCATTTCGTGGAGATGCGTGGAATTTTTTTTTTCTTGCTCCTTACGCATGTACGTTTATTGTTAGATTGAGACAGTGCCTATACCGTATCTTTCCCTTGGCGTCTTTCGTTATAGCAAAGCATCGCTACCCCTTTATCTACCTTTTTTTTTTATATTTCATTTCCAAGACTCTATGCCGTGTTAGCAACCCTTGTGGGTTACAGAAATCAGCGCATTTTCTAACTTCAAAAGCCCTTTCTGTATCCGTCATAATCATCATCGGCCTGATTGCGGCCGCATCAGGGCAAGGGCATCTGGCATGTTCCGCCAGTCAACACTGACCTTTGCTTGCTGCTGCCACGTTTTAATCTCATCTGCTCACATAACTTTGTCTATTGCTCGTTAGTTTTCCTTCTCTTATAGTCCAGTTAGTTACCCTTGGTGACGAGCGGTTATCTACGCGCTACGTGCCCTGCTGCCCATGTCGATCCTTCTTGATGTCAACTATGATGTCTAACACCCGTCTGTTCCCTGACCCACACACCTCTTCTTCTGTCTCTTAAGGTTACACCTATATATTTTCTTTTCATTTGTCGCCGCGTCGTCCATAATTTGAGGAACCCTCTTTGTAAACCTCCAGGTTTCTACACCGTAAGTAATTACCGGTAAGATGCAGCTGTTATATACTTTTCTCTTGGGCGATAGGGATATAACTGCCATTATGATTTGAGAACGCATGCCTTATGTGTTTCACCGGCCCCATCCTTATTCCTCTAGCTATTTCAGTCTCGTGGTTTGACTCCGCGATTGGTATGCCTGTCCTCAAGTGTTGCGATACCTATACATTGATGGATCGCGTCCCTGTGCCTTTCCTTCTTTCTTTTTTTCCTCCTGCGGCACTTTGACACTGAGGATGTACTTTTGTGTGAAAATACTTTGTCACGGTAGTTTCCCACAATAGTTTGATGAAGGTCGAACCTTTGTGATATACGTGTTTAGGGATGGTCGCCTGTTATTCCTTCGAATGTGCTCTCTGCTTTGCTCGAGCAGTGTCGAGGTGGTGGGGCTACTCCACGCCCGGAGAATGAGCGGCGGCCAGAGACGCCTGCGCGCGTCCCGTCGGCGCGCGGCGTGTGCCGGCACGCGTTAGTTTGCCCCAAGTCGGCCGCCGGTTTTCGAGCGCCGACAAGGAGATAAAGGTGAACGAATCGATTAATCGTTCTCGCCGAGTCCTTGACTGTCGATAACGTCAGTAAACCCATTACCTTGCCGCTGGGTGCCCGCCATTAATTATACGCTCGGACTCTCTTCACCCGCCCCTGCGCTTACACGTCTTCGCGACCGTGATGCGGCTCTCTATGCTGTCACGCGCGAGTCTCGTTTCTTCGGCATCCCTCCCCCACACCCTTCCCTTTTTTCGTTGCTTTCGAGTCAGCTGAAGGGAGACGATCCGCCGCTTCCTGTGTCTGAACGGATGTGCGGCGCGCCGTGTCTGCAGGTTACGAAGCTCCTCTTTGGCTCGCCGTATATGGCAGTGTTCGATCGCTTGCCTGCCGAGTTTCCTTGTCCGAAGACGAGTGCTCTGAACGCGCACGAGCTGCAAGGCGCACGCGACGTATGTTGAGATAGTGTGCTTGTTCATACGTCATGTCACGCCGGCGTATTGAGCGGAGCCACTGCTTTTCCTCTATTCCTGTACACCACCGTTTGCTTAATTGTCACCGGCCTGTGTACTTAATCGCCCATCGAAACAGCGTTGCAGCATATTCCGTTTATGCCACCGTGCTGCAAAATATGCGCCCGCATTCACAGCTTCTACACGAGAATCGTTCGCATGTAGGGGAAAATTTAATGAAAGTCTGATCCTGGAAATATCATTAGTAAAGCTGGAAAAAATAACAAATAGCACTCACGAGTTAAAATTTTTTTTTAATTTCGGCTCATGGTTG